CCCGGCAACGGCGCCAAAAACTTGACTCACTCCTACTGTCACTCTAGAAAATGGCCAAGTGTAACCACTTCCTAAAGCGTAGTATAGCGGGTTTGGGTTTTAATGTCAACCCGGGTCCTAGATGTGATGACTACTCGGTGAATTCTCGTTATCTAGCAGTGAACTTTTAGTGCAGATTCAAACAAACAAAAACACAAAGCAAGTTTAACGGTTGTTCAAGTCAAGAGAGGTCACCCGGATATGGTTCCCCCTAGACTGCAGTTAAGCCGGATTGCAATTTACCAAGTTCAGTTTTTATGAAAGTTATACTGCGGAAGGTTCTTAAATAGCCTGAAGTATCGACTAAAGGTCTTCAGACCCTCTCAATCTGAGTCTCTAGCGGGCGACTAACCTCCACCGGAGTAAACAGATTGAGGCCCTAACGGACCAAACCTCCACTACCGAATGGAATTCGGTACAGAACAGCGAATTGGCTCCTCGACTAAAGTCACCAATTCGCTATCTTCAATTAAGGGTACTCTATCAACCTAGGCAGATATTCTCATTCTAGGTCAAAGCAGAAACAACAGGAATTTGATCATGATTCAAGTCATTCAATCATTCAAACCTCAATCGAATATAATCAATTCACAAACTCTGTACTTGGGTTCATACACATCAGACCTAGCATACAAATCTAGGGTTCCCCATACCCAGATGAATGGGGGAACTACTCCATAGAGAAAGAAGCAAAAGCAGATTCAGACGCGGAAATCATACTGTGAAGACGGATTTCTGCTCATGGACGTTTAATCGGCACTTCTCCAAGCTCAAGCCGGGCTCCAATGGTGATGAAGATCAAGCTATGGCACTTGGGAACTCTGGTTCGTCGCTTTCTCTCTCTAGGAATCGCTTTCTCTCTCAAAAACTCGGAACCCTTCAATGTTGGCCTTCTTCTTCCTTTTATCAGCTGCCAGATCACGATACCCGGTCGGGTATTTTGGATTTCGACCGGGTATAATCAAAACGCACCGTTTCATGTAAGGGAAAAATCCCCGGTCACTTTCCATAATCCCCGACCGGGGGTTTAAGCTGTTTGCCCGGGCCCCCTTCTGTTTCTCACGGATGCCCGAAGTGAAAATTACCCGACCATGGCCAGAAAATACCCGGTCGGGCATTTCTCCCTTTGGCCGGGTATTTTGGCTCATCAGCCCCCTTCTTCCCAACTTCGCTCCTTTCGACCCAGAACTCGTTTCTCCGCCTCGATTCCAACGCCGGGTCCTAAAATATGACATAAACACACAACCTAGCGTGAAATCGGCTTAAAACACGAGATTCCACATCACAAACGGCTTCAGAATAGGGGCGAAAATATGTGTAATTATCGGTCTATCAGCGTGCCCTGGTTTTGAAATTGTTATAAGGAGTTCAGGTCGTCCTAATGCCTCAGGGCTTACTCTTGATTATCTTTTTTGGTCGCTTACTTTCACTTTTGATGCTTCATAATAAGCACCCATGGGGTGGAGACCTAGGTGAAAATCGTGGAGTCACTCAGTTGAGGCCTTCACTTCATTTGTTTCGACTTCCTTCTCCATAGTATGTCCTTTTGTAATGATTCCCAATCATAGTGAGGCCTAGATCCTTGTCTTCAATTGGTTTGAAACAACCTATGACTTATTTCTTCTCGTTTATCAGGGTAACCTTGCCTGTTTCAAATAGTTTAGCTTGATCTTTGATCTTGTACTTCGGATAACTCTCTTCAAGTTCATACTTCTTAAGCTTTTTCTTCTTGGCCTTGAAAATAGTAGACACTTTGTATAACTCTTTATTCTTCTTCTTCTTATCATTAGGTCTGTCATTTGCAAGCCTTGCCTTGCAATCTACAAGTTCACCATTCACTTGGATGGGATCAAACATAGATTTAATGTTCACCCATTCTATTTCCAAGCTTGATTGTGGGGTTGGTGTAGGAGTCACTGGCTCAAAATCCTGAGCAACATCTTCCCACTCGCAGTATTTGTGAAAAGAGGGGATTGTAGTCATGGTGTATTTTATCTCCTCTTGATAGATCCTTAGGGTTACTTGGTTGGCACTTACATCATGATGGTCCTTGCAGTTGCTAGAATGGTGTCCCGAGGATAATAGGAGCATCATCGCTTCCTTTCGTATCCATGATCATGAAATCCACTAGGTAGACAAAGTGAGAACACTTCACAAGAACATTCTCGACCAGTCCTTTAGGTGTTGCAACCGATCGGTTGCCTAGTTCAACCTTCATGCCTGTTGGTATGAGAGGACCGAGGCCAAGTTCCTTATAGATCCTTTTGAGCATGATATTGATACTTGAGCCTATGTCCGCAAGAGGCATCCATAACTTCTTATCACCATATGTGCATGGATTTGTGAAGACTCATGTATCTTTTCTCTTGGGAGGTAGTCCCTTGCAAGTAATCATAGTTGACGAGAGTGGAATCAAAGAAACCATGGAAACTTGTTCCATCTTCCTCTTCCCAGACAAGATCTCCTTCAGAAACTTTGTATAATTCGATACCTTCATCATGACGTCTAGAAATGGTACTATGACCTTCAATTGTTTCAGCATGTCCTTTTATTTCCCATATTCATTATGTGATTTGCTTTCAAAAGCTCTCTTTGGGTATGGAAGGCTGGGAAGGTAATCTTGTGCGTTGTTCTTGACCTTCTCTTGATCATCTTCTTATATGTTCTCTTTTTGGTCATTAATATCACTTGAAACTTTCTCCTCTTCATTTGACTCTTTGGTATGTCCTTGGGTCTTCGGAGTGTTCAATATGGGAACCCTCGCCTTTGATGGCGATTAAACTTCTTTTGTATCTTACCACTCCTAAGAGTAATGGCATGGCATCCCTATTTTGGGTTAGGCTCCGTGTTTCTAGGTAAAGCTCCTTGAGGTCAGACCGCCAATGCTCGAGCGATAGTGCTCACTTGGGACTCTATGCTATGCAAAATGGCTTGTTGGTTTATTTGACCTTCTTCTAACATTAGAAATCTTGTGGTGACAACCTCTACAATCTTGTCAATAGATTCAACCTTTTGGAAGAGGTTGATATGAATTGTCCCATCATATCTTCTAGTTTCGCCATTCGACCGTTGGATGCTCACCCTTGTTCAGTATACTAAGATTTACTAGGATGCTCTGAGGCTTCTTGAAGTTGCCTTTGATATGGAGATTGAGTGGATGATTACCCTTAAAAATCGGGAGGTTGTCTATCCACGAGAGAGGACCACAAGAAGTTAGGGTGATTCCTCCATCTTAGGTTATAGGTTGCACTATAAGGATTGTATCCTTGTGGTTGACCTCCAACAAAGTTGGCTTATTCGTGAATTTCCAAGGCAACCACCATAACTTGGCATCCTTCAAGATTATGAGAAAGGGATCTACACCAGTCGCACTTCATCACTGTTAGATGCTTCCTTGAACAACCAAGGTGACAAGGTCCATTTTCCTTGTAACTTCTTGGAGTTGAGCATATATGGAAGATTGATCATCAACTTAATGAAGACATCCTCTTATCGGATCCTTTCTTGTTCTTCCCTCTCCCCAATCATAGCAATTGAGGGCCATTTCTTCAACAAGTTTTTGCATTTGTTCTAGTTCTTTTTCCATATTGCCCCTCTACTTGTCGCATCAATGAGGTGTTGAGAATCTTTGGTTAACCCATTGTAAAATCTTTCCACTTGGAACCAATCTGCCAAGCCGTGGTGAGGGCACTTGAGTAGTAAAGATGTGAACTTCTCCCATGAATGAAAGAATGGCTCATCTTTCTCTTGTTGAAAAGATGTTATCTTGCTTCACATAGAGGCCGTCTTGGATGGGGAAATGTATCTTGCAAAAAATTTATCACACAAATCCCTCCAAGATGTGAATTAGTGGTGGGATTGATTATTGAACCACTGCTTACTGCTATAACGAGTAAGAACGGGAAAATTCTTAGTTGGATTACTTCAGGAAGTACTCCATTGATCTTTATGTCGTCCGCCAATTCGGTCTATTGAATTGGATCCAACTATGGATCATAGAGATAAACCCAGCTTTGATCTCGAAGTTGTTGTTCGAGATTGCAGGATAAAGGATAGAAGATTGCACATCCTCAACACTCAAACAAGTATAGGAGCCCATAGTCAGTAGAGGAACTCTAGGTTGTGGTTGTGGTAGCTCCTAATATGCCATAATGTTATGTCTAATTGTTGGAGTCTTGCAGTACTACGTAAAGCTTTTAAATTCCTTTCGATCTCGTTGTCAAGTGGCACGTGCAGAGCATGATTCAGGATTGAAGAGTAGACTTGACATGATAATTGTTAGTGTTGAGAGAAAGTAGTTATAGTTAATCTAAATGAGTTAGCCATAGGGAGTGATTTCTCATTTTGATGGTTGTAAATTGTTGAGAGGTGCTCAAATTATTTCTTGAATTATTCTTGCTTAATGAAATTTTTTATTTAAAGGTATCATATTGCATGTATCATGGAACAAGTTAGTTGTTGGTAGGAACTTTTACTAAAAGCATAACCAAGATAAATCCGAAATCCTTTAAGGTGTGCTTGGATAGGTGTATTTGAAATAACAAGTATATAAAATACATATTTAAAATGCATGTATTTGAAATACTAGAATTTGAAATACATGTAATTCAAATTCGTTGTTTGGATACTCATTTGTAATTTTTTTGTATTTTAAATTTTATAATTTTTTATTCAAATTTTGAATTTTTCGATCACTTACTACAGATTTTGGTAAATTATAGTTTGGTACCTAAATTTATTTTTTCTTACAATTTAGTACCTACACTTTTAGAATTTGACAAAAAGGTCCAGAAATTTTGATGGTAAAATTAAATTTTGGTACCTTAATATGTTTTGTATCACACTATACTACCTAAACTCTTAAAATTTTACAAATTAGTCCAATATTTTGTTAGGAGGTATTTCAAATCACTAGTTGTTAAAATGTATTTGAAGTTGACAAGCAATACACTAGACATGTATTTGGAAATCACCCAATAAATTTGGCTCCAATTACCAAATATAATTAATATCCAAACACACATTTAAAAATCAAAATCACAAATATCAAGTCTAAATCACTCTATCCAAACACACTATCGTGACATCAGTCACACAAAATTATATAAACTTGCCACACCATGCATTCCTACCTACCCTCAATTACTGTAAGAACTTATTTCATTTCCACTCTGATTAATCCCTCTCCCTTATCATATACATTATGACAACTGCTGCCCAATTGAATGCCCGTTATCCCCTTTCTTACTTTGATCAGGACAACATCCACAGGTAGACTGTAGACCACAGGGTGAGCGCGACGGCTGCAAACAAGTATGTCCACAGGTAGATAACTGAGCACTCTTCTTGCGCCACATCAAACAGCTGTGTCATGGTGCCTGCATCACATCATCGTTAAAAAAAAAGCTGTGCATTATGTACAGAGAAAAAGTCCAGGGTTTGGTGGTTGGGTTTGTTTACCAATGTTCATGGCCGGTGGGATGCTGTAATGAAGCATTAGCACGTAGGCGAACAGAGGATCGGCAGGGAGCAGCCCCAGGCCGGAAGCTGCCTTCACCACGAATATTCCGATCACCGGCAGGAATACGTATCGCACGCAGACCACTCCGACGATCATCCATGGCTTGATATTTGACGACCGCAACCCTAATTCCCGAACAGAAAGACCCATGAAAAACAACAGCAAGCAAGCTAGCTAAGTTCAATATGTTGCTAGAAAGACCGCAACCCTAATTTGGATATCTGATTTGCTTTACCTTGAGTGAGGTTGCCTCCCAATATGAGGGTGATGGAGGGAATTGCACCATCCCTGCACATGCAAGCAACCCAAAATTCGTTTTATATATGTGTTAGTTTATGATATATGACCCATTCTCTTAGTAATTCGAGTTATTTGTGAATGGTGATAGTACGAACAATAACAGCCAGAGAGTGATGAGGAATGGTACCCAAGTAAAGCAATGGAGTCTTGGATGACACGCAAGGGTGCACCCTCGCCCACTATCAAGTTCCTCAAAAACGCAGTAGCTCCAAACAAGAACCCAAATATCTGACCATCAGATATATACGTCAACCAATTTTTTTTTAATTTACGGTTGATCAATTACCGGAGGTGAATTCTACAACTTACCAAGTAACCAAAAAATAAATTAAAATCAAAATCAAAATGAATGGTTGTGACTTGTGAGATTGGCAGATAGCTAGGATATCCGACATTCACATTAGCTAGGACCATAATTATCAGCATAAAAAGTGATGCTGCATTATTGTGATAGATGTGTTGATCTGATCCAAAGGGGAAATGAAAGAGAAATATATCTGCCGCTAATCAGAGGGAGGTGGCCAGCTAGCTGATATATTTAAGAGGGTTGTGATAGCTGTGTTGATCTGATATATTTAAGAGGGTTGTGAATTGTGATGCCAACTGGGGCGGGCCAGATTAGGGTGTCTTAGTTTGGGTATACCTATACCATTACCATCACTCTATTAAAAAAAATCAGCTTTTTTCAAGCACAAAAAAATATTGATTTTATACCAATTGAATTGTTGAGATTAATAAATGATTTCGTTGATTTCTTCTTTTTTTCTCAGAGGATTATTTCTGTTTCATCATTCTAGTAAATTTTCACATGAAACACATAATTAGAATCTACACAATATTTTCCGTTTCGATATGTTTTGAGAAACAAACTTCCACAATTTTATGATTGTCATAGTAGTAAAAAGTCGTACGAATGGATGGGACGTTGTTATTGTTGAGAAACAAATTTCCACAATTTTATGATTGTCATAGTAGTAAAAAGTTGTACGAATGGATGAGACGTTGTTATTGTTGCTATGAGTTGAATACATATTATATATCGTCAATTGGATTAGGGTCCGATTGTATCAAGAATGTGTTATATATACCTTCTTAATAATAACCTACATCATTTGTATCTTGTCAAGTATAGTGAAACTGCTTTCTGCCTGCTACCCGAGGACGTAGCTGAAAAACATCGTATTGGTGAACCACGTAAATCGATCAATGTGTTCATAATTACTTTCTTGCGATTGTCGATTACCCAAACCAAATTTTATCATTTATTTTTTCAGCACATATATAATAAAAAAAACATCCAAGTACACTTAACATAATTTTATGGACACATTTACAAAATAATACCAATGATGGGGATGACATATATAATTCATAAAACTAAAAATTAAAACACGCAACTTACATTTTCAGAACCCTTGTTGACTGTTGTGGGGAAGAAGGGAAAGAAACTTACTGTAGCAAGCGTGGGAGGGGCAGTGAGCTCGTGTAATATCCGATGTAGCACCTCCACGACTTGGCTCCACCCAGAAGAAGCCTTTGCATTTCCCAAGACATGAAATCAGACAGTTGACTTGATCATCAAGAAACGCTGCACTCAGTCTGCAACAGTAGTAGTGCACTGCTTAAAGTGTCTTAAGGGAACTTACTGCAGCAGGTTTTGGAACTCGTGCATCTTCAAGAAGAAGAGATCCCTGCAGGTTAGCATCTTGATCGACGTCGTTTAGTAATTTGGAGGCCTCTAATTCATCAGCCACCTCATCAAGTTGCTTGAGTTTGATAGCTGAGGTGCGGACGAGCTGGTAAGCAATGGTCCACACATAGATGCTACCCAACTGCGAGCGTGCATATATATAGTGAATTTGTACCAGAGAATTAAACTTGGAAGTTTAGTAAATAGTTTATTTGTGTGACTAATTGGACTATTTATTTTACCGCAGCAGAGAAGGATGCGTATGAGAGTCCAATGGAGCCGCATGTTGCATGATCCTCCCCGAATGGAGTGCCGTCTTCTTTGCATATTGCAGGTAGAACTATCAGCAGCAGATTCCCGTAGTTCCCTGAACATTGAAGGAAAAGAAACAAAGAGAGATGATCGGAGAGAGACAAAAGGTGATTATTATTAGTATTATTGGACATGATGAGAAGCTGCAGAGATGAGATGAAATTAAACATGGACCTGTGGCGCAGGTAGCAATGACAAGGCCTTCAAGATGCGGCTTGGGCCGCAACACTTTGACCACCAGCCAACCCAGAAGTCCTCCAAATAACATGGTCAGCCCGATGTTGACTGGCATAAACCACCTGAAATAAAAACAAAGAATATGTGTTCAACCAGCTGCATGATCTAGCTAGCTAGCTAGCTGCAGAGCAAAATGATGAAAACCCAAGTTAGCTGCACCATGAGATGATGTCGTCGAGGGTGACGGTTTTGGAGAGAATGGAGAACAAGAGCGAGGGTGTGAAGACCGTGAACACAACCTGCATACAGGATCAATATAATCAAACGGATGAGCTAGCTAGGAAAAGCTAGCAATCAGTAGTATATTAATGGCGGTAGCTGCAGAGAGATCGAGGGGGATGATCACCTTGTTCAAGTAGTTTCTAGCATCGGCGTGGAGGACATTGCAGTAGCCGGTTGCCAAGAGAGCGCCCAAGAGGCCGATGACGAGGACTTGTATGACTGGCATTGAAGCCACCTGAAGCAGTGTCCAGAAACCCATTTTTCCCCCCACCCCCCTTCTACTTTTAGGAATCAAAACCCAAAACACTATAGTCTTGCTTTTGGAGGGGTTATTGGTTCTCTTCCTCCAGCCTTGTAGTAGAGTGAGTTGTCTACACGCTTTTATAATTATATATGTAAGCACTATTGGGATTGTCCCCTCAATCAAGAGGGAGGGGCTGCAAGAAATATGGCGATGGAGAGAGATGAGGTAGCTAGAGCTAAGCATGATTGCATAGCTCGAAAGTGAAACATGGAGATACCCAGAAAATTCAAAGTAGGTGGGCCGTGGGGGACCATAGTATATGATATGAACCAGAGATTACGTACCACTACTATCTGCTTGTACTAATGCTGTGATCAGGGCACCTAGCACGTGAATTTGGACGAATACTGGCTGTCGCTGGTTTGGCCCAAGTATTTTGTTTCACTATTTACTAAATTCTCTTAATTTAGTTATTTGTTAGGGAGTTTGCATCATGGCTTTGGGAGAGATAAAAGGGTTTTTGTAAAAAGGGATAAACTGAAAGGAAACAATCATACAACACACCGATTTACGTGGTTTCCCCATTCAGTATGAACGAGACTAACGGATAGTCACTACAAAAAAAAAGTCCCCTACGCCAGCGGTTTTGATCTGGCGGTTTCTTGGGCTGCAAAAAAAATCCCCCCATTCGATGACGGAATTGAGTTGCGGTCTACTAAACCGCTACATGGGCTTGTTGGCGAGAGTTAACCCGGGCTTTCTTTTGGGTTTGAGGTCAGGTTTTTTTTTTCTTTTGATTTTAATTTTAGGGTTAATACCCTAGTTTGGCCAGAAGTTTGGCGTAAGTGTCAGTTTTGGATCGATTTTTTGAATAAGACTGTTGTGGCCTACTTTTTAAATTATTGGACAAATTTGGCCCGGATTTTGAATTTACCGTCAAAATTGACGGTCAATGATTTTTTCGTTAGTGACTCAGCATCCGGTGCTGACTAGGATCGTACACGTCGTCATTTATTGAATTATAAAAATTAGAACTAATTAAATATATATAAAAAATTCCCAAAGACTTTTTTGGTTTTTCCACTCTCCTCTTCGGGAAAATCCTAAATTGCCAAAACCCAAAACCCACTCGCCTCCGCCGTGACAAATGATGCCCATCGCCACCCACCTCTACCCTTTCTCTAGTCGATAATCGAGCCCTCAAAAAAACTCGACATCGCCGCCATCATGACCTGGAGATCCAATCGCCGAGTCAAGGAACCCATATAGAGCTACTGCCCTATTTCAACTCAGATCTGGTGCAGAGGAAGCAAAAATCGGGGAATGAGAAAGTTGAAGGGAGTGGGGTTGAAAAAGGAGAGACGGCAGGCTCATCAGAGAGATGTAGAAATTATAGGAAGGAAGAAATGGCGAAGGGTTTCTTTAGCAGCAAACAGCTGGGAACCCTGGTATTTATATCAAACCAAAACAGAGACCTTACAACGTTCATTTCCTGTTTTACTGTTAACCACAACACCTGGCAATCACTGATATGCTGTAAATAAACTAACTACACTTATTTAACTGTAACTAGTAATACGACGACGTCTTCATAGGATTTGGACGAAGTCACGAAACGTATCACATACTACGAATCGTCTTTAGACCCAGTTTCCGTTTTGAACATCTGCAAAAACATCTTCATGTTGCAGCAGCTTGGATTTCCCTCTCTGCATCTTCACTTCTTGTGGATTCCAATCAAGAGCTCCTTGACACGCTATGACACAACTCCTAACAAAGGCCAAGTGTAACCAATGAAAGGGACTGCATTATAGTGGCTCGAGTAATAAATATCGAATCCACGGGTATCTAGAGTTACTATTACTCAACTTGAGTTCATTATCTAGCAAACCAGATTAAGATGAAAGAACTAAAACTACTCTAACAAACTACAGTTAAAGTTAATCTAATTACAGGTTGGGAACTCACTTAGGTATGATTCCCCCTAGCCACTAGCCAGATTAATGATTGATGATCTCTAACCTGTTTCCCTTTCATTCACAATGCGGAGAATCCTTGACTAGACCTTGAGTCTCGACTAAAGGAACAAGGCCCTCTTGAGTCAATTGCCTAGAGGGACGTATCCTTCTCTAGAACAACCGATCAAGGCGCTCTGAACTAGACTCCCTCTATCGAAAGAGGTTCTCAATCGATACAAAGCAGTGAATCAACCCTCGACTAAAGCAGTCGATCCAATACTATCAATCTATGGTGCTCTATTGACCTAATCAGGTATTCGCTCTCATAGGATCAAAGCAGAATCAATAATCTCGACTAAAGCAGAATTGAATGATCAAAACATGCATGGATTGAATATGAACTCAAGGTTATCAAGTCAGAGTACTCATACAATCATCCAATCAAACAAACATAGCTAGGGTTCCTCAAAACCTAAGTGAAGGGAAGTTACTCCATAGAGAAGAGAGAGACTGCAGTAAGAATCTTCAGATGATCAGTCTTCAAGTCCGGGCTTGTTCCTCGAGCTTCCAAGGTGAATAAATCCTCCAATTCCACTCTTAGAATGCCCTCAAATCGCCCTCTCTCTCTTTGGTTCGTCCCTTGGGTGTTTGGGATCCAAAACCCAGCTCCCCCGTCCGCACTCCGAATCAGTCGCTGTTTGATCCCAGACGCTCTTAGTCTCGTCCTCTTTCTTTTAATGACAAGATTGCATGATTCTTTGTCCATAAAGTGAGGTATAAATCCATTCTTCTTCAGGTCATGCCCGAGTTTCTTCTCCCGAATCGCCAATTGATCTCTGATTGACTTGAAACTTGCGCTTATGCTTCACTTTATGTGCTAGGACCTGAAATTTGACAAATTAACACAACCTAGCGTAAAATAGGCCAAAGACGCGATAATTAAAGCTCAAACAGTCAAGAAACAAAGGGGAAAACATGTGCAAATATCGAGTCATCACTCCTCCATTCTGCTTCAATACGCCCCCCCAAGTTGGCGCGTATATGTTAATTACGCTCAACATGCCAAGCAAATATATGACACGATAACGAGTTAAAGCCTTGGTAAACAAGTCTGCAACATGTTCTTCACTTCAGACATAGTTCGATTTGATCAAACCAGATTTCACCCTTTCTCTTGTAACATGAACATCTATCTCAATGTGTTTAGTACGTTCATGATATACATGGTTCTCTGCTATTTGAATTGCAGGCGTGTTATCACAAAACACATGAAGAGGAGTTGGCAACTTCACATCTAACTCCTTTAATAAACTTTGAAGCCATTAGATTTCACATACCAGGTGAGCAAGTGCTCTATACTCTGCTTCAGATGATAATCTGGAAATGGTGGTCTGCTTCTTTGCTCTCCAAGTAACCTAGGATCCTTGCAAGAAGGTACAATATCCAGATACGGGGGACTAAACTGCTCGTCATCGGTTTTTGGTTAGCCGCTAACCGGTGGTTAGTGACTAAACTGGTCGGTTAGCCGCTAACCTAAAACCGATCTGCCACTCCTAATTGGACCCGAATGATTCTATATCCATGAATGTAATGTTAATGATTGGATAAACTTCACATACATAAGTGGTAAATTTTTGAAGAACACAGGATAATTTTTTTATCTAAGGTGCTAATATCATGATGAATTTATTGTTGTGAATCACTGTAGTGAGACCAAAAGATCCAAGCCAATTGACAACATAAACAAATGACAATAAAAATATGGGTAATGACTATTGATTAGCCAAACGTTTTTTGAATTCTTTTTTATTAGTTAAATCTATCGAAATACTAAGAATTAGCCAAATGCTAACTTTCAGTTAGCAATTTTTTTAGTAATATTGACTTGGAAACATGAAACTGAATCGGAAGAGACACATGCAGGTCAACATTCCAAAATTAGTATTTTAACTAAGAAAAGAGTTAAAAAAAATTATTAACGTCAACGTAAAAATGGCTAATATTTTGATGCATTACAAAAAATTTGACTAATTAATAGCATTTTAATAGGTTTGGATAATTTAAAAGAATCTGAAAAAATTATGAATAAAAAATAGATATTATCTTTAAAATAATGGACAACATCAATGCGAACATTACAACAATGAAATCCTCTGAACCCAATCAGGATGTCTATCTACTTTGCAATCGGCATGTGCACACACAGATGACCACGTACCTACTCCTGTGCTCAAATCTAAATGACGGGATAATGGAAAGTTTGATTTCGAAGTCATCCCAACTTATCCAATCACCACCCTCACCCTAGCTATCTCCTTTTTTATGGGGCGGTTGGCGGGCTAATGGCTAATGCCATGAAGCTATGAGGCCTAGACTGGGTTCCTATCTGGTCTTGCCTGCTGGCCCAACCATGAGTAACTTGTCTACATCAGCATGACATCAGTATCCTCTCTCTCTTGAAAAGTCTTTTATCTTTTCCCCTTCAATCTTTAACGGACGATTTCTCTCTCGTTTTAAGTCGAAATTTAATTTTTTTTGCCCAGATAAATCAGATTAAATGTGCTCTTTAAAATGATATCCACTTTGATATATTTTTAGTAAAAAAAATTGAATAATTTTTTACTATTCATATCATATGGTATGCTACTATTTAATACCATATGGTAAGAAAGCATACCATGATGGTATGAACATACCAGTATGGTAAGAAAGTTGAATACATGGTAGTAGGAGTATACTAACTATCATTTACGACTTTCATCATTGTTTACTACAACTTACCACAAGTTACCACCCACATACCATAGTGGTAAAGTTAGTAATTTTTTATCCAGTATTTTTTTCACCCAGAAATTTATAGATCCAATAGATTAGGATGAACTCGTTCCTTCTGAGCAAACGTTTTCAAAAATGACTTAAGAACGAAGAAGTTACCATATGGTATGTAGTTGGTAAAAAAAGTTTCTCGAAATATTTTGAAAATTAATCTCATTTTGTAGAGCACAACGAACTCGTTCCATTTGTGCAAAAAAAAAAAATTGAAATCCGAGTTATAACGAAGAAGATAAGAGCCGATTAAAAAAACTAGGAAAAATAAAATGCCTTTAATTGACACTAGTTTTGTGCCCGCCCGATGGGCGGCGAGTGTTATCTGTTTGTACTTTTCCTTCTATTATTTGTTATTTTTTCAATGGTATCAGATTCCTAATTTTCATAATTATTTATTATTGTTACCTATTATCACTAGTCCTTATATTGTGATGTATGAATTCTTTGAGTTTGAGATGATGAATGTGATATGGCATGTGGTGATGAATGGATGTTTATTTGACTGAATAATATATAGCATATTGCATGTATCTTGACAGTTAAGTTAAGGCAGAAGGCCTAAGAGTTGGGTGACGGAAAACTGAATACTCCATGTTCTGTCATGGTCAATAGGA